ATGATTTATGCACTTGGTTCTCGATTGGTATCGACAATTAATATACCCTCACGTTATCACTAACCTCTGATATGTACCGTAATAAATGAAATTGATACGTATCCAAAACCGATGGCTCGACTAATAATATAATCGTGTTAACAATAATCAGCAATTTTCAGAAAAAGGCTAAAATTGTGTAAAAGTTACATGTATAATGATACGAGAATAAAACCAGACCTACCTTCTTCCATTATGCTTATGTTTTGCTTGGTTTCTTCTGTTCCTAAAGATCGTACATAATCACTGACGTCTGCGTGGAGATTAATTGTGAAGAACGTTTCCTGAAGCTAACCTTTAATGTTCATCTCCTGTCAAATAGTCTAACCCACACAACAGCGTCAACAGCAATCTGATTGGGGCGCACTGATGCGAGACCGGGATCGCATTGGTTTGGATTTTCTATTTTTAGTATCTTCAGCCGTCTGCTCAGTTGGATCATGAATTTAGATGATGTCACTGGCACAGAAAAGATTTTGAGAATAAACATGACAGTAATTTGAGTCTTTGTTATGTCTTGCACTGTCTCTCAGATGAACATAATCGTGACTAATGTTTAAGAAAAACTTAGACTATAATGAAAACCTATATCCACAAAAAAATTAATAATTTTGCTCTAAGCCTACAATAATTATTTTGTTTGATAAAAGGCTTTGGAGTATCATTTTTTTAGGAAAAAGAGAAAAGGATTTGCGCATCTATTATTTGAGGTTTAATAACATTAAACAAATATAAGCCTATACAATACAAAATATTGTTATCTCTTGTTGAATAGACAATATTAATTTTTCTAAAAGCACTATCTTTAATGAGATGCATCTCCGAGCAGTCCATATCTAATTTTGATTAGCTGAAATGTAAATTTTGGTTGTTAATTGCATATCAGCATGTAGTTCTGCAACTGTTCGTCAAAGCTATTACAGAATTTTGAAGAACAATGTTGATACTTAAATGCAGACTGATAATTATTTGTTTTATTCAGAATGAAATGTAAATGGTACAGAGAGAATTACAAAGTGATGAATTGCTTCCGAAACATCAAAATTCCGTTTTAAAAATAAAATGTAAATAATGCTACGTTTATGATACTTCTTCTTACGTTAAAATGTTTCTGGCGATCATGGTTGGTATTGCTCCTAGAATAAAAAAAACTCTTACAAATTTATGTAAATTTGAAAGATAAGTTGATAACAGTGTTAAATTCACTTTTCGTGTATCTAAAAACAACAAGTGTAATAGATCAACGTGCTTATGCTTTGAGTCATGAAGGGGAAAGAATTATTTATTGATTTTAGAGTTTGTGTGAGATGGAAGAGCAGATGCTGTGATGTTTAACAGTCTTCATCACATCTGGCCACTTCTAATCTACAAATGATTCATCAAATTATACTTTAACAAAGCTTTCAGCTTAGTAAATGAAATTATAATATTAAACACACACAGGGTGAAAATCATCATTAAAAATAAGTGTTATGTGAAAACGGCTCGTGTATCACAATTATGTTTGTACGATTCACAGATTGCATTGTCTTATTCTATGCAATTAATGCCTTTCCATTCACATTAGAATTAATTTGTTGTAGACCTCATTTCCATAGGCGATTTCCCGGACTTGAGTAATCATCGGTGATATCGCAGACAAGGCTATAAAACCCTTTTTACATAAACCTTTTTGTCAAATTCCAATCGCTTGTTGCTAGCCCCCGATTGAGTACATGTAAGTATTAAAAGGACAGGAAAATAAATGAAACATAATAGGTGGTTATTTTTCTCTCTCAGTTTTAGGGCATTGGCTCGCTAACCGGCATTGGACGAGATAGTTCATAAGGATTTTCTTCCGTGATTCTTCCTTTGTTAGTGGTGTAAGGGCGGAGGACCTGGTAAGGGACAACGTATAGTCGATCGGGTGGAACGAAAACCCGAGGTTAGGTGTACATAGTGCACGTAAAATGACCCTTGACAGTTGGAATTCGATAAAAGAGTGGGCCGTAGCGTCGCTGCCTGGAAAAATTCCCCCATTATCACACTGCATGGCGTGTGCTCGTCTTCATTAGTCCAGGCGGAATTCTGCACACAGAGAATTACATCTCTGCACTAAATAGTCGCCATATCCAAAAATTAGTATACTGTTTAGTAATGCGATTCTACCCCGTTTCACATCTGTCATACACACAAAGACTAAATAAACTTTTTCAATTTTATTAAATCAACAATATTCTCGAAGTATACTTATCTTGTCCGTATATTTCTTTTTGTGTAAATTATGTGTAGTGCAGTCCCCCTGTATGGAGCGGAATTTCCCTCATAATTCTAATGCCTAAGCTAGTAATGCGTAATTAATATGCTTACTTCTATGCATGTAACTTCTTACTAACACATGTTAAATTGGCTATTTACACATGCAAAAATGCTAATTTATATGACTTATTTTTTAAATATTGCAGTTAGAATTTGTATTTTGTTCTATTTCCATTATTACTCTTAATTTATTGTAGTCAGTTTAGCATCGTTAACATTTTGACATTTTACAAAGGTTTCGCGGTAAAGGCGCCATAATTCTAAAGATCATTTTGGTAACAGAGGGTGCTGTTTACAATTGTATGGTGGCTTATTGGGAACATGTAAAACCGCGCCCTTTCCACAACCCGACGGACATGACGATATTTTTCTGTCAAAAATAATAAAATATTTTACGTACAAAATCAAACTATTTTAGATATTTTATCGTGCATTTTCACAAATGATGCACTATCGATTGTTTTGACCTATTTGTTTTCTAAAATAATAACATATAGCAAGAACTCATTACGTCATGCATGAAAGTGAATAAATAAATATAATTCAGTAATGCTTAGTTTAGCTTATCTCTTCCTTCAAAATTATGAAATATTTTATACACACAAGTAAAGTATTTTTGATATCATTGAAGTAATCTATATCGGGCCAGGCTTCCAAATCATCGGGGGCCGCGGTGTCTCGGTGAGTAAGTCACTGGCTCGGTAACGAGGAGGTCTCGGGTTCGCTCCCGGAGTTGGAAGAGACAGTTCCTCGGGTTTTCCGGCGTGCCTTCCACCTGTGCCTGACAATGAACAGTCTTAATAGGACGAAAACACAATGCCGTGCACCAAGAGTAGGCCATAGCGCCCCTGTCCGTACAAAATCCCCTGACATTGCCCGTCTTCATTAGCACAGTCGGTGCATAACAGTAGGACGTTAAACTTTATTTCATTTCCAAATCACCGGGTTTTGTGTTAGTAAGTAGGAGGAGTCTTTGGGGATTGGGCGAACGATTCATCGCCCTTATTGATCTCATTCTATAGTCTGGTGTCATAATTAAACGAATCTAAAATGGGATAGTTCTACATCCTCTCAAAGTCCCATATTATACACCCGTTGAAGGGTTCCGGGCTAATTCTCACCACCCCTCCCTTCTTATATTTTAATGTTTCCATGCCTATAAATTTTGAATCAATAAATTTATACCAATGATACTGCAAAGGTACATAACCTTAAAACTGATTAGTCAATTTTTCGGTATTCAAACTTGAATCTCAAAAAAAGCAGATTTGATGGATGTATATCTCAGAATACCTCCACACGAACTAAAGATATCATAAAAGAGGATGCCAGTGGATTTACATAAAAGATACTCTTTCTCCTTGTTTTTTGATATTGGCGAATGTCGGAAAACGAGCTACTCGTTTTTCGATATTCAAATTTGAATCTCGAAAAAGCAGATTTGATAGATGTATATCTACAGAATGCGAAACACATTTGATTAAATCAGTGTCATAAATGAGGATGCCTGAGCAGTAGATTCACATAAAAACTGCCCTTTCTCCTTTTTTTTTATATTGGCGAATCTCATAAAACGAGCTACTCGTTTTTCGATATTCAGACTTGGATCTTGAAAAAACAGAAATAATGGATGTATATCTACAGAATGTCTCCAAAATACATTTGATTAAATAAGTTTCCTAAACGAACTAAAGATATCATAAATGAGGATGCCTGAGCAGTTGATTCACATACAAGATGCTCTTTTTCCTTGTTTTTTGATATTGGCGAGAGAGATGGGATTTAACGTCCACTCGACACAACGACACAAATTACGTCATTTTGGGACTAACATATGGTTTAATTTTATTTCAATAATTCGCTTGCGCGTAGGGGTCTTTAGCAGTGGGAGGGAACCTGAGGACCTGGAGAAAACCCACGAGGTTGGACAGGCGATCCTACTCCTTGCCACGTACAACCGGGGAATGGAAACCACGCCAGTTGACTCAATGACAGACTTTATGATAAAGCGCGCACACACTAACCATTACTCGTTTTTCGATATTCAAACTTGAATCTCAAAAAAGCAGATTTAATGGATGTATATCTACAGACTGTCTCCAAAACAAATTTGATGAAATAAGTATTCTAAAATGAACTAAAGATAGCATAAATGAGGATGCCTGAGCAGTGGGTTCACATAAAAAAAGCTCGTTCTCCCTGTTTGTTGATATTCAAACTTGAATCTCAAAAAACAGATTTGATGGATGTATGTCTATAGAATGTCTCCAAAACACATTTGATTAAATACGTTTTCTAAAACGAACTAAAGATATCATAAATGAGGATGCCTGATCTATGGATTCACATAAAAACTGCTCTTTCTACTTGCCAATATCGAAAAACGAAAAACGAAAATCGAGCTAACTTCACACTGCCCAATTCAGCTCCGTAACAAATTCACATAAAACACCAAACTAATCTGGGGTATCAGTGTTCCTGGTAGACGACTATTGAGGTTTGATCCAACAAGTTGGTTTATGCATGAAACCTGTTGTATTACTATATTTCACACGTAATGCTAGATGGTGGCCAGTTACTAAACATTACAATAAATATTTTATAAATCCAACAACTTTATTCATTTAATACTAATGACTATTTTATAGTTTATGTATGAATGCTTTCTTAATAAATATAATACTTTAAATTCTAATAATATGTTTATAAACAAACACACTAAAATCTATTAAACTCTGGGAAGATATAAACTATCCATTATACAATAATAAGTATGTATATATAAACTCCACATAAACAATAAGAATACTGTATTTATAGTAACTTTGCAAAAACAAAGAAATAAGGAAATGCTGGAAATTTAAATACGTTATGGTAATCTTTCATACACATATTTTCATTTTAAGATACAAATCAACTTTTAAAACCGCCCAGTTCATTAGAAACTATTTAACGTAATTTTTGTTGTATAGACAAGCACATCTACCAAAATGTGTGATGTTCTTACACAACAGTATGATAAATGTTCAGATACCATAACATCTCGATACGACCAATTCTATTGGGCTCTCACAGCACATTATATCAATTAAAGATACATTGTCCAGAAAGTATTTATTGGGTGGTTAATTCCAATAAAAGTATGGCAAATTTGGTATATATGGAAAGTATAGAGACACAATCTTACTAGAAAAAATACTGGACTACCCGAAAAATACCCATGGGGCAAGCACTAGTCAAAACTGTCAGGGTATCACTAACTGGCAACCCGACTGTTGTCTGCCAGTTTATTGTTATTCTCGGTCACTCAGAACTTCCTAGTATTCCTAGTCTGGGGCAGTTGTCAATATTTGTCGAAAAGGTCCATTGCCCATGCGTAACCGGGAGTTTTTTTTGTGTGGTTGATTATCCAGTATCTTTGGTCATGTCAAGTAAGAGTTGTGCACATTCCCGCAATAAATCCCATAATTCTTCTATTAATATAAACAAACATGAATCGTAACGACGAATTGGGGTTAATTTAAAAAACATAGATATGGCCCATGAAGAGAAAAAAGATTATGAGTACTGGATATTGAACTGGCAATGCAATCAAATGGATTTTCTGAAATGTCAATGTCATTCTTAAATTAATTTCATGGGCGTCAACATATTTTTTTTAGGACTAGTTACCTGCCTTAGATTTTGTTTATTATAATGTAAAAGTTCGGATAATCTAGTCAATGACCCATTATTCTCAAATGTTGACAACGCATCCCGACTTCGTAGAATATTTTTCTGGATGATAGAAACTAACGTATTGCGTGCTAGCTTGACTGAGGGAGCGGTTGTTATTTCTTGATCAAATGGTTAGGCGGTTTTGGGAACATTGAAGGGTGTCAACGTACAAAAGGCTTTTTTAAAGAAAGGTGGTGAGGCTGCTGAAGTGAAGGTCACGGAACACTGATATCGATAGGGTTCAGCCTCGAGTGATCCCTAGAATCTTTTAACCAGCGGCTGCCAGGCAGGATACGCCGACATATTTCAAGAGATGGATAGAGAACTAGCTAAAAACAAACGGGATTTTTTGTACAATCAAGGGGATTATCCAGAAATTTATGGTCTGAAATGCGCAAATATCAAAAGGGACTGAAATCTTTGGGATATAAAGAAAAGTTTCATCAGAATCGGACAAAAATTGTGACCTCTAGAGGGTTGACAACCTTCGTATTGCATACTTTTACACAATTTGCGTACAAATAGCGGCCATTTTGTTGGGCAGTTTCATTTCGATTTTCCCGAAATTCGAATTCAACCTTCATTATGGGGGAATGGTGAAATATTTAAACGGTTTTTAAAATCGGAAAAAAAATGTGATCTCTAGAGAATCCGCAAGCTAAAAATGCCATTTTTCGAACAATCAGCGGCCATAATCCAGGAAGTTAAGTTCGGGTATCCGCGATATTATCAAAAGGATCCATGATCTTAGTGTGTAATGGTGATATATTCATGCATTGTTTTTAAATCGGATAAAAATTGTGACTTCTACAAGGGCCACAAGCTAAAAACGCGATTTTTCGTACAATTAAGGGCCATAATTCAGGAAGTTACTATCCGATATGCCGAATATCGAAAGGAGCCAAGATCTTGGGGTTATTAACTTACATTTCAAGTTTCATCAAAATCAAAAGACAATTGTGACCTCTAGAGGGTCCACAACATTGATATATCATATTTTTACACTATTTGAGTACGAGGTGCGGCCATTTGGTCTGTCAGTTTTGGTCCGATATTTACGAAATTCGAACTCAACTATCTTTAGGGTGTAATGGTGATATATTCGAACGTTTTTTAAATCGGATAAAAATTATGATCTCTATACACTCTTAAGACCAACTAGAAATCAGCCTGATTTCTGAATGTTTAGGAATTTGACCTCAAAGATAATGGAAGTTTGTTGAAGAGAATCCTGTCATCAACTTCTCAAAGATAATAAATTGTCGCCCAATTATTATCTATTTAGATGGTGCAGTGTCATATTACACTGCTCTATATTTAGAATATAAAAGCTAGATGATTTGGAGATCAGGTTCTGTCGGATTTTCAATTGAAATTAAAATTAAAATTGAATAAGAGAATAAAAGAAAATAATCAAATTGAATGTAGAAATAAACAAATTTAATAACAATTTAATATAATAATTATATCATGAAAATAAAATTGATTCAATATTACATAAAGTAATAATTAGCTTATTTAATTAGATGTAGCATCTTGTTTTAGCCAGGGTATACAAACATAAATTTCAAATTTAAACCAAATCGGCTAAAAATTGTGACCTCTACACTGTTCACGAGCTCAAAACGTGATATTTCGTACAATCGGGGGCCATAATCCATGAAGTTACAGTCCGATACATGCCAATATCGAAAGGAACCGAGATCTTAGGGGGATTAACCTATATTTCAAGTTTCATTGAAATTGGATAAAAATTGTGACCTGTAGAGTGTTCAGAAACAATTGTGGACGTCCGGACGGACGGACAGAGCCGACGACAATATACGTCCAAATGAAAATGTCAGCGTATAAAAATGGATTCAAATATTACATAAAGTACCGGTAATAATATGCTTATTTAATGAGATGTAATATCTACAGCAACTTCTCTAAGCCAGGCTATAAAATATCTTACACTATTTTACTCATATACTTTGACATTGACCAATTTGATGTTATCCAATTAAAGGATTTTGGACCTTTTTCCTGGGGAGATTAATATTCATAAGTAAAATAAGCGTTGTTGAGCACATTATCTTTGTATAACTCTTGCCAGTGGCATTTTACATTCATCTATGCATATTTATTTCCATAGAAAAGAGCCTATTGAGCCATCGTACATGTATTATATGTGAATACAAGGTACAATACTATTTACAAACTTATCAATTATTATTAAAGAAAATTTGATCCAAAAATATCTTATGTTCGTTCAAAAATATGAACATTTACGGATTTTTTAAATACAGGGAGAGGTTACCCCAAAACAATCTATATTTTATTTAATATACAGCTTGAATATGAAATATATTTGGAAACAGGCGTTGCCATGCAAGAGACGCCAACATTTTGCAAGAGATGGACAGAGAACAAGCTTTAAAAACAAGTTTTTCGTACAATCAGGTATCATAATCCAGGCAGACACGGTCCGAAGTATCGACTGGAACCCAGAACTTTGGGATATAAACATATAATCGGACAAGATAAAAACGTGATTTCTCGTAAAATTGGGGGTCATAAGACGGGAAATTAGGTCTGATTTGCGTGAATATCAAAAGGAACAGAGATATTTGTCGGTAATGAAATATTTACAATACACTAAAATCTGATTAAGAGTAACAACTCGTTATGTAATTATCAGAAAATCATTGGAATTTGTTTGGCCCATGCTAACGTATATACAAAACACTTAATGTCATGTATTTAGCTGTTCAAGTTATCAAAAATCATTGAAAATCAATATACTTGTTCGTCTCAAGACCTTAAACTCTGTGTATCAATCTAAAGTCAATCGAAACTATTATATATAGGCGTAAACACGGTGTATGAATATAAAATCAATCAGTTGATAACTATCTGGCAGTCATTATCAGAAATCGTTGTAAATCAACAGGCTTCTTCGTCTGATGACCTTAAAGACTGTGTATATATTTAAAGTCAATCGGATATTAACTTTAGCCCCTAGAGCGTCCACCAGATTTTTCAAAGTGATAAAGGGCGATATATGTAACTCTGGCAGTAATTATCGGAATTTGGTGAAAATCAATATGATTCTTTGTAAACACGGATATTAATTTAAAGTCAATCAGATATTAAATTTACCTCTAAAGAGACCACAACCTTGTATTACATACTTTTAGGCTATTCTTCAAGTGTCATATTGAGTAATTTGTATATAATAGTGTTAAGCTGTTATCTATCAACTTCATCATCGATAATAAATATGATTTATATAAAAAAGAGCTTTTTATTTTAGAAATTAAAATGTTGTCATTTGATACTCACAATGGCAGGTTTATAGCTATCAACACTTATCTAACTGGACTATTTATATCAGCAATAATGCCACTCAAGTTGGACATATTGTTTAGATTAGCATTCCAGGCAATTAAAAATCAGTGAACCGGGCCAAACCCAAACATCCAAATTTAGCTCTTTTTTCTAGATGGTCTTAGGACTGTATAGGGTCCACAAGCTAAAAACGCGATTTTTCGTACAATCAGGGGCCATAATTCAGGAAGTTACGGTCCGATATGCGCGAATATCAAAAGGAACCGAGATCTTTGGGTTATAAGACAAATTTTGGTGTAGATTACGAATTTGGCACCACTTTGTGGCAAAATGTGGAACTAATGAACTAATCACTTTTATTTTCAGGATTTCCACAGCCTCTGGCAAAGTCACTATTGTATACACAAAGGTGAAAATGAGTATATTTTGTACGTTTTCAGTGCGCATTGAATTTCGAGACAGGATATTTGGAAAAGTATATATCCCATCGACTCAAAATTGATAAAAGACAAACTGACTTTAACTATGCCAATTTTGGAGTTTGTGTATACAATACCTATTTGAGTACCCTAATTTCAAATGGCCATGGCCATATCTCGGCGAGTTTTCGACCTAGAGAAGTATAGTTTTGGACTTGTTAGCTTAAGATAACATTCTGTAACATATATTTTTTATAATTTTTGGGAGGGGGTCATGTTCCCAACTTTCCAAAATTTGGTCCACTTGACATGGAATGGCGTATCTGTAATTATTATCTAGGACTATGTCGAGGACTATTTTTAGTGGGTGATAAGGGGTATGTTGATGATGCTGTGTATCTAGTATCAGGGGAGAGAACTTGTTTGTGTCTAGCACCTGGTGATTGCATATTACTGCTAACATTTTCCTGATCGTCTTCAATACTGTCATCTATAAACTGTAATAAATCGTCTAAATTAAATTTTTTACCAGGAGATCTTGGCGACGGTGTGTTGCTAAAAGAAACAGTAAACAACAATTATTAGAAAATCGTACATTAGAAATAAATCTTACATATTTCGAAGAATTTGAACACAGTACCAAGTGTAAGGATCAGATAGTAGCCATTAAAAAAGAGACTTACGACTAAAATTCTTCACAGAGTTTATATTTACAAAATTAAATTGTTTGAACTTACTATCTCGATTGTAATACTGATCTCGATTGTAATACTGATCTAGATTGTAAATTGGCATACTTAAAATAGATTACAAGATGCAAATAGTGAATCTACAAACACATCGGTAGAGCACCATTACAGAGAACATTTACATTAAAGATACTTCTAGATACGGGACATCCCAAGGTGGAAATTCTAGCACATTTAAAATATAACACAGAATGTAACTTCCAAATAAATACACGAGTATTCCCCACTGTAGGCCGTAATCTAATATGGATTACTGGCTCACTCACTGGACAAAAAGTTTGAACTATCATATAGACTTACATTTCCTGGAAGACTCGTCGTGGTGACTGATCATCAACAGAAGAGAACGAGAACTGCCTTTCACGTCTGTAGTATGTTCTAGGTGAATTGGGTGAATTCTGTGGAGAATGACGCATTAATACCGGGGTGGAGCTACTTATAGTTTTAAAAGCAGACTTTGGAGACAGTGGTATACTCAGAAGATCATCAGCACTTTTAAAAACTCGCTTATCTGGTGAACGCTATAAAATAAAATAATCTAATACTAATGGAGATTGTGTACCCTTTTCAATCTTGTGACGTACTCTGAGCAACCGTTTTTCTTAATATTAATATTCTTCTGTGACATCTTGATCGCCACCAGACCGGACATCGCAGATGGCGAGGTTTTGAGTGAAACGTTTATTTCTGGATATAGAAGCAGGTGGACTACCCCTTCTTCACTTTCGGTCTGGTATGGGTCAGTTGGAGCGAATCTAGAGATTTTGTTGCTATGGGTGAAGGCTACCGCAAAGACCATGCAATGCGCATACATTCTTTTAACGGAATTTGAAAACAGAACTGCAAAATTTATATCCCATCCACCCCATCAACACTTTTGGATGTATCATTGTGCTGTGTTGATTGACTTACCTTTAATGGAGATGTCTTTATTTGTTTCACTTCCCGTTTCGGTGTTGGTGTTTCTACAGCCAACCCACAACCTGTAGAATAGTTTAGTTATATATTTACTATTATAGACTAATCTTAAAGGGGCATACAAACAAATCCAATTGGTTTTTCTTTTATAAATATGGCAATATCGGTGCTTTTTGTTAGCCTGACAAATAAACAACAATGGAGAAATAGGCTATTGAAGAAGAGAATTCTAATTAGTAGAACATCTTTTAAGACGATAGAGTAAGGTACACACGCATGCGCATCCAGAAATGACATGTTTTCAAATTGAATATACGTTAAAAGACTGACTGCGTGTGCATAACATATTATTTGTATCACAACTGAAAGCAGCTAAAATAGTCCCAATTCAGCTTAAATAAATTTTTAAAAATCATTAAATTTAATAACAATTAAACTTTTATTACAATATAAATGTTATACTGTTCAGTTTGTATATGCTTATAAATTAAATATTCTGTTTATTATTTGCCTTCAGCCCTTTCCCCCATTTCAATTTGGAGATAACTACTTCTGTTTCGAATTTAAAGGGGTGACATTGTGCAATAGACGTGTCCGAAGACGCGTCAGCGTCGCAGTTTCTAATGTACAAATTCAGAACATGTCTATTATATTATAATATTAAAAAGAAAAGATTTGGTGAAAACATTTGAGTGATAAATAATCTAACCGTCTAGTAGTAGTTGTGCCTGGAACTTACCTAATTCTTGTTGACATATCTCATATTCAGATTTCAATACAGTTACACGGAGAAATATAAATTTTGCTTGACATTTTTCTAAAAATTCTGGTGATATAAACATCTTATAAATTAGACCAAGGAGTTCTCCTGATAAATACTTCATCCACAAATCCTCTAGTGACGTTAGAGTTGAACAGTTCATTCTGATAATTACACTTCCGTTACATATATTTTTGACAGTTCGACCATGGCCACAAAGTTCTTGTAACCTAACTACTAAATGCATGGCGTCTGCTATACTTTTATTTGTCTCAGCCAATTGAGTTCTGTTTTCGACCTTTTTGTAAGCATCGAAAGCCATTTGTAAAATTTCGTTTTCGATACGATTACACTCACAGTTGTTATCAGTGGCGCGATTTAAATGTTGAAGTCTGTTGCGGACGTCTTTACATTGTTTAGCTACATCAGAGCATTGTATCTTAATCTCAATATCACCTAAAACACATACAAAATACAATAATGTTTTGTCATTCATCCGTTGTATGGTTTATTAATGAACCTATTCATACATCACAATCGATTAAAACACTAAAGATGTTTAAACAAGATTCAGGTATGTTTTGCATCACTAAACCTAAATAAAATAGATATAATTACCCGGAGCACGTTGCCTGTCGTTACTGCAACTATTACTGAGAGGGATAGATACCGGTTTTGGTACTCGGGGTGAATTTCGTCTGCTCCATGAACGGAGGTCGTTAGATGTTCTAGGTATAACCAATAAGTCTGAAAAGTCAAGATGTTATATAAATTTAATTTGTTGTCATTTCACTGCAGGTTTTTACGTTACTAGTGACCATATTTTCCAATTTCAGTACTTTTCAATGTCAGTATTCCGTTCAAATAATTTTGAAAACCAATGGGAACAGGTGCGGAAAAGTAAACCGTCGAACAGGTCGTTTGTTTCGACCTCATCGCCGTGGTAGTGTTAGCAGTTTTGTAGTGCTAAGGCCAAGGTGTGTTTATTACCTACACATAAGTCTCCGGTACACCCACCCAAATACATGACGATATGCCATGGGTTTGCTGGTGTACCTACTCTATTCCCCAAAGCTTAGAAAGGAATATATATATGTTACCGTATTCTTCTGGCATTAGTTCCTCGACGTCAGTTTTATATCTGGCATTTCGCTGTAACTGATCCTAAAATGTAGAAAAAGTTATAGGTGTTGTGATTTTGAGCTTGTAACTTTCTTTTAAGTTTAGAAGAATTCGAAATAATCATACATTAAATAATATTTAATCTACGAGTGACAACTTACCCGTGGTATTTGTTTACAGACTAGGTCATTTACATCGTATTCTTCACCCATCTTTTCAAAATCTGCCGCTCGTATCTGATGATTGTGAACAATATTATAACATCCATCGTTGTGGTGTACAGGCTGAGATATAGATCGGTTATATTTTATGGCAGCCATTTCCTCTTCACTACGTTTACTTGGGGATTCCTCGATGTTGCTCTGGCTACGAAGAGGTCGACGTTTTTCAGGAGAGATAGATTGATTATGATACCCACGAGAACTCATTTGTACACAGTGTGGACACTTCGTTGGCGTCCGAAGAGGTGAATGGTGCATGGACTCCGGTATTCTTCCGTTCTCTAAGCGATAAGGGCCATGCATGTTAAAAGGTTCTGATGGTGTTGTGCTGGAATCGTTTTTGTTATCCATGGCTACACCAAATGTCGGTACATGGTTACTGTTTACTTCAAACCTGTAATCCATCTGCTGTTGTGACGTGTTGGCTATTTCTGGAAAAACGAAAACATGCCCGGCTTTCTTCGTTGGTGTTTTTATTACAGAGGATTTTCTGATGTGAGGACTTTGTATACTGGTTTGAACCAGCATATCCTCAGTAGATCTGAGCCGCGCATTTTCTTTTTTATACACGTCTGTTATATTACGTGCTGTCTCGGTAGTTAAAAGTTGCCTTTTAAATAATTTTGATTTGGGTGGATCTTGAAGCTGGAATTGTGGTTCTGCAAAGAAAAACAAAAGGATATAATTATAGAAAACAATTTGGATGCCTGTCAGAGATTGATCTGTACATTTTGGTGCCAATAGACTATTTTTGGCAGATATGCGTACAGGGCCAATAGACGCATTGCTTGGCTCATACAACTTGTTAGAGTTCTTAAAACATTAAAATACATGTACAATTACTAACTAAAGGATTATGTTCCAGTGTCGCCGTGTAAATAAGAGTTCTTAAAACATCGAAATACATGTACAATTACTAGCTAAAGGGTTGTGTTCCAGTGTCACCGTGTCAATTATGAAGAAATGAAAAGAAAAACCCGATATATTATACCTTGAGAATAAACCATGCTATGACCCAAAGACAATCTCGGAGACTTGCAAGGGGTATCATAAATAGAATCTTCATGTCTATCTTGTTTTCTTGGTTGTGGTACAAACTTCTTAGCATCGTTATCATCATCATTACAATCTCTTGAAGTCTGCGTTGTAAACGCAGCTATGGGCACTCGAACGCCATTGTTTAAAAGCGTTGGAAAAGCATCGCTGTTTTCTTCCCTTTGTTGGATATAATGTTGTCTTATTTCATTTATTTCACCATTGCCTCTTCTACGAATTTCCGCCCTTTGTTGGAAATAGCTTTGTGTTCCTTTAGTATGTTCACGTATCTCACTGTCGTTTCTACACTGAAACTGTGTCATTTCTGATACTGAAGTATTGGCATTTGAAGTTACGTTCTTATAAGTATTATTAAAATCACCATGGTGATATCTAACATCATATTGTCTTGCGTCATTCAGGGGGTAGATTTTCTGATTTACAAAAGACAATCTTTGTTCTGGAAATTCTGGACATATAGATTCAGTGTTTCGTGGTGTGTTTTGCCCAGACACTATGAATACTCCAGAAGTTTTAGAATAACGAACGCTGGAGCTCTCTTCTCTGTGCTCTGTGTCATAATTTAGTGGCTTTGGGGATGTCCCATCATCGTCTTGGTGTTTGTGGTATTCTGCTACTTTTCGATAATGGTTGACCCCTTTCTGCTGAGTTTGGTATATCCCGTGGTACTGGAGTCGTCCACTAGTGTTCAAATGTTTATGCATCCCAGGATTGTCAATGACAATCATTTGTCCGTGACCTTTGTGTTGGTGTGGGGAATCACGCGGTGTTTTGTTCTGATGTCTAACATCATTTGGTCTACAAGGCAACACAACACCAGGAGTCTCGGTAACATGCCTACTGATTTCTGTCTGGTAGTCTACAACGGCCTTAAATTATATTTAAATAAACACCTTCATTAAAATATTGCTAAAATCTGACAAAGATTCTGCTGTGAATAAAAAAATGCAAAAAATCCCGATATACTTAACATCAGCAAAAGAGTAGTTATGAAAGTATTGATCCTTTACTTACGATCTGTTCATGTTGTACATTATGGCGAGGTTGTCGTATTGAGGAATCTATAGCCCGTGTTGTGCTGTCTGTTGTTTGAGATGATGCGGTATATGTTGGGAGGGGTAGGATTCTTAGATTGCTAACTGTTGATGAAGATGTTATCTTCTGTAAACATATAAAAATATTGATAGAGTCGTAGCTGATCGCATAATATGAATTAAATTATTTTCAGTATTTATGGTGTTCCCGTTAATTAAATCTAAATGCTGCGTGTTATTAAAACTCAAACTGAATTGACACGCAAAATGCAGGTAAGGGAGCTAATTTTCTGTATGTTGCCAAATTTTCCAGAAAAAGAAACATAGGCTACATAATCTGACCACCACTCACACATTACCTGAATTTTACATATAGTGAACATGGATTAGAGTTATAAAAATTATAATCATTACAATAATAGGTTACATAACAAAGGTTTCGTTGTCAGCGGTAATTACTTGGTTGGCGAGTGCAGATTTCGATTGGCTTCCTACTTATGATTCGACAAAGAATATGCATGTCTAAAAAAATGGTACTCAACAAGGCTGAATTGTTGCGTTAACATTGCATTGGTGATAGGGACAATGTATCTTCGAAACATCGTGTGTAGTAATATGGATGGCAGGGATTTGTGCTAAGGAACATCTATGTAAAATAATATTATTGTTTTGATTAATTATTGTTTATGAAATTGTTTATGAAATATTGTGACAATAACAGGACATGGGGGGGGGGGGGGGCGGGGCTAAAGACTAGGGATGGAGAAATGTGATGGCCGAAACAATATCATTATCTTTACAAATTATTGATTCTAAGTTCATAACCAAAAATATAGAAAGTATGTTAGTTATTTAGATACGTTAACGCAGCTAGAGATTAATAAACATGTTGATTATTCTCCATTGCCAAAATATTAGCTATGGTATAAGTTAATTCTGAAACGCAAGATACATTGTTTATGAATATTGTGACAATAACAGGACATGGGGGGCTAAAGACTAGGGATGGAGAAATATGATGGCCGAAACAATATCATTATCTTTACAAATTATAACCAAAAATATAGCCAAAAAGTATGCTGGTTATTTAGATACGTTAACACAGCTAGAGTTTAGTAAACATGTTGGTCATTTGCATTTTTCAAGGATAAGTTGTTATTGTTTTGAAATACACGTTAGTGGAAAATTACGAATTAGCCTACGCCATTCGGCACCTATAAGAGAGCCCGGAGGCTAGAATAATTTTTAGACTCGCATTGGATTCTGTTATATCCAAGGTTGGATGGTATACATTGTAGGTCAGGTTAGATCACGTGATGTTTACAATGTCACGTGATATTGTCGGCTAGTAAAAATATAGCGCATGGCGATTGGATTGTTTGTTTCAGCTTAAGCTCAATCGTATCGGTTAAATAGGGATATTAAATTGGAGACAAGAATGAAAACTGACAGAAATAGAGAAAGCAAAGATTAGAGCAGATGATAAGAATAAGTAAGTGGCGAACTTTTGAGAAGAAAAGACAGAAATTAAAGACAAATTGAGCAGCAGATCGCGAGAAAAAACATGGAGGGAAATGACAAAGCACAAGTCCCCCAAGAACACGAAGGCCTTAATATCAACCCGCAAGCATATCATTTTGTCACAGAGACACGTCACCTAAAGGCCCCTAAACTTTTTGTTTACGACGACCAAATAAAAACAGGACAGTGCTTGGAAGAAGAGTGGGTCGAAGGTATGTAGAGAGAATTTCGGTATTTTAGAATTACAACTCCCATTGACAAGAAAGATGCCATTATTATTCATGGAGGTAAGGAGATCTCCAGATTAGAGAGAACATTGGTAGATCCAATAGCTGAAGAAGGACAAATATACTCAGCCAAATTAAAAACTTGACACTCGGGATTTTTGGGACTAGATTTGGTTTAAGGCAACTATTTTAGTGTAATGTTGTGCATAGACGACCTTGACATCAACAGAAAGCAAGAATACGTCTCGCCGAAAGTCCTTGACATTGATAACGTTCGTGATGTCACAGTACCCCCCAAAATGAAATTCACAGACTTGGAGAACAATCGGAATAAAGTGTTTAGTAACGGCTGTGGCCTTCTCTAGCGTCTCGTACTGCCACACAACGTCTTCTCATGGATCTCAGAACATTAGTAAACACTACCCGAGGAAGACGTCGCCACTGCTCAGCAAGAGCATGTTGAAGGTCCTGCAACGTCAGTGGTGGATTCACTTGCTGACGAACACGTCGACCCAGTTCGTCCCAGATGTGTTCAATAGGATTAAGGTCGGGGCTAAGCGACGGCCAATCCAGGACTTGGACACCGGCATTTCTTAAAAAATTCTGGGTAGCAATTACTGTATGGGGTCGAGCATTGTCTTGTTGAAACGTTAGTCCAGGCCCATGTCTCTGCATAAACGGAAGAAGAACAGGTTGCAAAATCTGATCTCTGTACTGGACAGCATTTAAGTTCCCTTGGACAACAAGAAGAGGAGAACGTCCATGTGCACAAAAAAAAACCCAAACCATGGCGCCACCAAATCGGTCAACTTCTCTGACGCATACTTGAGCGTAACGTTCACCTCGTCTGCGGTACACTCGGGCCCTGCCATCGGCAAATCTCAAAGTGGATCGAGATTCGTCACTAAAGACAACCGAATTCCACTGTCTTTGAGTAAATCTTATGTGTCTTGTGGCCCACACAAGTCGATTACGGCGATGAAGAGGTGTCAATATTGGTCCATTATAGGGCCTCCGAGCTCGAAGACCAGCAGCCTGCAAGCGATTTCGAACAGTTTGTGCAGTAACCCTTCCACCAAACATCTCTCTACTTGTGGAGGTTGCAGTGACAAATATGTTTCTAAGATGACGTAATCGTATTGCTTGATCTTCCTGGAGTGACGTCACACGTGGCGCTCCCGCCCTTGGGCGGTCGGCAATAGTTCCTGTTTGAAGCACTCTCATTCTAAGATTAATTATTGTCTGGCGTGAACAATTAAAGGCTCTTGCAACAGTGACCACAGACTGACCAGCATAGAGCCTACATATAGCACGTAGACGTTCTACATTTGAAAGGCGCGGCATTTTCTAACAAAGATGAATATAACAATTTTAATTTGTTTTTCTAGTTCAAGTTACGTGTGCGTGTTCAGTTTAAGAAAACTTGCATCGATTGACCTCACGAGTTTGTGTTTGCACGTGTTTTTCAGGTTTTTAATCTTTATATGCTCAAAAGTCACGTGATCCACGTGACTTTACAATTTTATGAAATTAAAGGCTTCTTACTACTTACTATCGTTAGAAACACTTTAAAATTTATTTGACTTACCAGAAAAAAACAAATTGTTGAAATTCATCAGTGTCAAGTTTTTAATTTGGCTGAGTATATTAGATGAATACCAGATACTGAGAAAGAAACCCAATGAATATTTTCTGCCGCAGAAGAATGAACACATCGCCAAATTGAAATTTGGAAAACTTCGACCTATTCAAGGTAGTCACGTGATCGCCTGCTGACTATAGAGGTTGGCAGCCATTTTACAACCTGGAAGATTTAGCCTACGTTAGCATATACCAACACGCCGGAGAGTTTTGGTTAATTCAATGTCAGGCAAAAAGGGGAGTGGATTATCATTTCATAAGTAGGCATGATAAGTTATAAGTGAAATAGTGATCTAATAGATATAGTATAATCATGATAATAATAGTGTAAAATGATTTAATAAACACGGCGAGAAGACGTCGAACACTCAAAGCTTGAGGCCGGAAAGAGGGCGGGTCCATTCACTTAATTTATTAGTACTGATACTTTTATTATGTAATAATTACAATGTCCGTGTGTTTAGCCAACTTCCAAATTAATGTATATTTAATTATTATGGAAAGTGCGCATATTATATATACATACACATCTGGCATTGTACGAAAAATATCGCGGGGAGTAAGTTTGGTTATTGTAGTGGAGTGTTTAGTCACAGACATGCACTCACTTGCCAGTAGTTGCTTTGTTATCGGTTAGTTTTACTCCCTCGGATTTAATTAATTAAGCCGACACTAACACATATGTACCGGTACAGAATAAAGTGAAAGTTTTTTGCAATATCAGTTTGTTTCTTTTTTTTTCTTCAGAAAACATGCTTAAAACCCCCGAACTAGTTAAAAAATAGTTAATAATAAGAAGAAAAAAAGCCGTGAAAACTTCATTCACAGTCAAATTTTGTAAATAATTTTTTTTTAATCGATGCTACTACTAAAATCTCATTAAGTTAGTCTTATTTTTTTGTAAAATTTAATATACAGCCATATTTTTTTAACCAAAGAAAAATCAGACACCAGATCAAGGAAATTGAAAACCATATAGGCCTACTAAAGCCTTGCTATCCCTGTTTATATTTTCCCTTTTTTAAAAAATATTTCCCATCGGCGGCGGATATTATTCTACTGGTAAATGATAGAAGTATTATTTATTTATTAATTTATCACCCTTTTTCATCTGGATCATGTTATAGTTATCTGTCAATCAAGCAGTCCTTCCATTTCAAATCGTCCAACAAATTATTTAGATCTATCCAAAATAAAGTTTTATGTGAACTACGAGGAGCAATGTTCAAAATTTAGACGAACACTTTATAGATCTTGACATTTGAGGACGTTCACTTTGCTCAATTAATACTAATAATAAAATAAACATGATTTCGTCAGGTCTGCATTACAATTTACACCATTTCATATGCTTTATGATAATTATGATAGAGTTATTCTTAATAATAAAGCCAACAAAATATACCAGTTGAACAAAACGATTTTGTTTTTAGGACAGTAAATGTAAGACCTTTCAATCATCAATATTGTTGGTTGACATTGTTGAATTAGATCTATTTTTTAATGGGCTTGTCCGTCCTCCGTCAGTCTATTTTCCTTTATTTACATAGCGTTCATCCGGGCACTTCTGTCATTCTTTCCCGGTTGAAACATGGCGACCAGTCTCCAGTGACGGCCCACGGCGTTAACGTTACGTCAATGGGGATCACGTGACCACAATACAATCTAGTCAATATATACACCTCTATGGGTGAGACAATCAATGTTGGGGCTGCTAGATTACGAGAGAAATCACAAG